TGGGAACGGCGAAGGACGCACCCGCCTGCCTGCGCTCCTTACCCGGTTTTGACGAGTTCTGCGCTTCCACGCATGCGCAGGACGCATACAGCGCCTGCGCAATCCTCCAGGAGCAGCTGAAGCATCGCACAGATGCTAGTACACATGCATGCGCTGCGCGCGTGCACACGCGCATCGCACACGTGCACGAGGACGCCACCAGCCCCGTTCCAACCGAACCGGTTGGAACGGGGCGAGAAACCCACCCCTGGTTGGAATCTACTTGTCTGGATCAGTCTTGATCTTATAGGTAAAGGTTCCCCTCCTACGTACATGCTAGTCATTCCCGACTCTAGGGGCGGTGCTCATCTCCGTTTCCAAAGAGCCAGTGCTGTCCGAAGACATCTCCCTGGTCATTCGGCATGACTAAATGCCAAAGGCACACGGAACGCTGTTACCTTCCCACCAAAGGTGGTTCCTATTTTTCTACTTGCATTTTTTACAACTGCTAGGTTGGCAGAAGCTGGGACAAATAACGGGATTCAAACCGCCGAACGGTCAACTTTTCTAATCCACAAGCTCAGCGTCTTGGCCATTGAGCCACTGCATCCTCTTGATGTTAACATGACCTCAAGGGCATCTTTTCTCAAACTTAGACAGGCAGGGCCTGATATATTTATATCTATTTATTTTGATTCCTATCCTGCTTTACGTTCAGCGCAAGGGACATCTTCCGATGTTTTCCCCTACAATAACCCCGTGTATGAGATAGGCAGAAGAACTTGCTGCATCTCTTCTGAATCTTCTTCTGGTCCTTTTAATAGTCTGCACAAAGAGAAGCTTCGGGACGAAGGGGAGACGGCCACATGCTAGCCAGGGAATTCTGGGTGTTGAAGTCCACACCTTTTTTTCAGATGCTAAGGTTAAGAAACATGGGTCTGAGATGACCTGATGTTTCCTGCAGAGGCTTGGCCTGTGATTCCATTCTTTTCATTATTAGAAGACCAAAATCTCCATATTTTTTTGCAATGGCAAGAGTACTAGTGAACCAGAGAGTATTGCCGATCAATACTTAGAAAGCCACTGCGTTTACCAATGCCTGTGCCTTTCGCGTCTTCTAAGACGTTTTAAAGATGCACATCTCCCAGTCCAGCACGCTAAACAGAAATACACCTCCAAATGAATCATCTGTTTGCCCCACTTTGTTACCATGTTTGTTTTAATCTCATATCCGCTCCGCCCATCCAAATATAAAGAGGCACCAGAACGACACTGCACCCTTGTTTTGCCTATAAGCATCGTACCACAAAAGTTATCAAGGAGACAAAGAGAAAAGTCAACAGGTAAGAGAGGAACTTAGATATTCATGGTGTTAAATCTTTTCAATTTGCGCCTGGGAATTGCTTGAATGGAGCTACGAAGGAAAATAATTTGATCCAGCTTTACTCTGTTGCTGTTTTTTTTCCAAAGAATTTTTTTATTTTTTTTAATCTCTTACATACCATTTTAAGTATACATTCACATAATTGTTATTATTTTTTACATTTATCATTCTTACACATTTATTATTTCATTTAATAGGTTATGATATACAGTTTGGGTTGCTTTATTCACCATCGCTTCCTCATGTTGTAATACCACCTTGTTTCTCCTTTCTTTTTTCCCTCTTTCCCTTCTCTACTTTCTTCCTTCCTCCTCTCCTTCCCCTTCCTTCTTTTCTTCCCTTTTTCCTACCCTGTCTCTTCTCTGTTGCGTAGACGTTTGGGGATTTTCTTGGGAGGGGAGAGAAACACTGTTTGTGTGAGGTTTTTATTTTTTATTTTTTGCTACCGGGCCAGAATATTCCTGGCTCTTGGAATCACTATGGAGAAGGCCAGGAAATAGGAAAAGATTAGGTAACCCAATAGTGCCCTGGTAGTGACAGATAGAAATTTTGAAGTCCTGGGTGGCTTAGTGGCTAAGACGCTGAGCTTTTTGATCAGAAAGGTCGACAGCTTAGTGGTTTGAATCCCTAGCACCATGTAACGGAGTGAGCTCACATTACTTGTCCCAGCTTCTGCTAACCTAGCAGTTCGAAAGCATGTAAAAAATGCAAGTAGCAAAAATAGGTACCGCAGTGGTGGGATTCAAATAATTTAACAACTGGGTCTCTGCCCTAATGATTCCTTCCAACAACCAGTTCACCAAACTGCTCGGAAACTTAACAACCGGTTCTCCCGAAATGGTGCGAACTGGCTGAATCCCACCACCGCCTTCAGTGTTTAGTCATGCTGGCCACAGAGACGTTTTCGGAAAGCGCTGGCTCTTCGGCTTTGAAACGGAGATGAGCACCGCCTCCTAGAGTCGGGAACGACTAGCGCATATGTGCGAGGGGAATCTTTACTTTAGGTATCTAGAGAGCTTCATTTCCATCCATCATTCCTCACGGACCTCTTTGAGGAAGGACTGCAAGAGTTGTGGACTCACCCAAAGTGCCACGTTTTACTTCCCCCTGCAGTCAAATACGTTTTAAGCATTTGCGGGTTTATTTACTCCTTCGTGGATTTATTTCGATTTTTGTGCCACATCTGACAAGGTTTCTCCATCTCTTGAGATGTCTGCATTTTGAGATTGAAATTGAAATTGAGATTGAAATTTATTTATAGGTCGCCCTTTTCCCTGGGGGGACTCAGGGCGGCTCACAACTCATGGG